ACCGTTGGACCAGAGCGGTTACCGACTGGATCCCTCGGGACGTCAAACGAACACCTGGACGACCGCCGGCCCGATGGTCAGACTTCTTCACGAAAGCTCTGAACGAAAGGGCGCACGAGCGCTTATTTTGAAGCTACTCAAAAGTCCGTGAAGTGGACCGAAATGTGAGAGACGAAAGAGAATCTTATGTAGAAGCGCGTGAACGAATGTTGTTTTCGTCGAAGGAGCAAACCCTCATTTGAATAATTGTGGCAATCAATGTTCCGACAAGCATGAATATAAGCAGCTTCTGCCTTCTAGCTCTTGACTTGTTTACAGTTACAGAATGCGATAACGAGAGCTCATGGAGGTTCAGAAACGCTTCATACAGTTAGGCGTCACAAGCGATTCCATAGAAATGACCAGCCGCTAGGAAAGGACCTCATAATGAGTGAATGAGCCGACAACAGTACTTCAACACTTAAATCAAGAGAGTACAGAACTCAGCAAAAAATCAATAAACGACCAAGAAATTTCGCGGGTAGACTAGTTGTTCGTAGTCAACTCCGAATCCGTCCATTGATTCAAACGATAAAATCGACTTGTTGGTAGCAAGTGGAAAGCTGCAGCACTATATCTTAGGATCAAATCCTAGATCGAAGGTGAGAAAAAGGTGAAGTTTTTCCCACACCTGAGAAGCCATCTGGCTGCGAAATGGGTCCTAAACGAGCGAAGACACGAGTGAACGATTGATTATGGAGTACCGTATTGTCACCTAGGTAGAATATGAGATCTGGAAAATCTCCTAGTTAAGCTACTCCACCCCCTCTTCATTACAGCATCCAACCTTCATATGTTCAATTTTTTGACTTCGGCGAGGCGTGAACCAGATGTAAGCAGCAAAGACGCTATGCAGGGGCTAGGAACCACGTAAAACATGTCCTTTTAAAAAAATGGGGCTTAGCTCGAGGTCCGGGAGGAAAAACTCAAGAGTGCGCAAGCCATTTTCAAGTTCTGCAGAGTTCCGGCCCTTCCTAGACCTAAAGGAATCCTATCCGGAAAATTCTTCTACTCCTTTCTAGCATTTATATGTCAGCTTGTGATACTGGAGAAGCGTCACTAAAATTTTACACAAAATGATTAATTCGTCGAAGAGAAACAAACTTACGAAAACCACATTCTGTGGACAGTGGAAGGTAGGTCGCGCGGAGCCAAGGCGGCGCATCGAAAAGAGTGGGGTTCGAGCGTTTGGTTTTTGGTGAATAAAGACAAAAGGTTAGATAGAATAATATGCGGTAGAAGTGTGAGATGTCAGTGCAATATAGCACCAAAAGATTTCAAAAAAGAATGTTTACAGTGACAGCGTTCCGCGAACTAACCATAAGTGAAAGAGTTCCCACCACCAGCATTTGTGACAGGTGTCCGGCGGGAATTTAGACGCGCAGCAGTCCCTTCAGTTTTCGAATTGGTTACCGGAACAAATGCAATTTTTTTGTCCTTGTACCGTTTTTCGTGAACAATGGGTTCCTAAGCCAGTATGGTTTGTGCGGTGAAATGGAACGTTCCCGAGTGGGATTTTCTAATTCTATAGGGATGCTTCCGTATACAGCGAAGCGCTGATAATAGTGGCTAAAGGTTTCGGCTTCGACACAAGATTTTTTAGAAGTAACTTCCAATTATATCACTGGCAAGTTCCAGGCTAATCGAGGCCTTATGCTTCCATTACTCAAATATTTTGCTGCCGAGAATTGTTCCTTTCAACAAAGAACGCATTACACAGAAGCCATATAAGAGACAAATATTCATTTCATATAGATTTTGACAACACCGGCGTATGTATGGAAGGCACAACATAATGGGATTTGGTCGGAACCCTCTACAAAGAATGGGAACACCAAGAGCACAGGAAAAATTAGATTTCAGCATTTCACCAGAATTATACGAAGTTATACGACAGAACAACGAAAATCGTAACCCAAACCGATCAACACATTTGATCTACACACAAAAAGTGCACAGGTGAAGAGTCGGTGGCGAAATTGAGGCAGATTATGTGAAATAAAATGCAAACTGCTTTGTCCAACATCTTCGCAACTCTGTCGCATTATCATGGTGCATTGTGAAAAATTGATATCGACGATTGTACAACGAAAATCAATATCTATCATAAAGCACATGCTTCTGATTCGTCGCGAATAGCCTTTGCACGTCTCAAATTCACCGCTGTATTATCACCTGAGTTGAATCAATACGTATATACAAACTGATCACGACAAATAGATAAGTTTAAGTGTTCCGTTTAGCACCAATACAGTACGGGAGCACCACAAAATGTAAGACCTCTATGGAGGCACAGGTGGAACCCAAATAAATCATTGTGCGGTTAGATCTACTCCAATCGCCTGTACGTTTCTGACTGGTAGACAAATGCGTGGCGCAGCCAAAAATTGATGTGCCCCATTTCATTTCTCGCTCTCCTGTCGACATCATACGTTTTGTGGTGTCTCCTCATATTGTGTTTATATAAGCGGACGTTTCAAAATGACAACGAACGAAATTGGCAATATTTCAAGAGTTACCGTAAACGCTGATGAGCTGCTGATCTAGGCAAGTGATACTAAATATATCTAAATATAATTAGGTTATTAAGAGCTACATAGACACGCTCAATGCTAACAACTAGTCATACACAGCTTACAGCGTTCTACATATCAAAATCGGTTGCAATATTTAACAGTAAATATTTTTCAGAACAGAAAAAAATTGAGGATGACGTCATCAATCAGTACTCGTCGATTACCATGGTGGCCTCCTCAGCGGCCGATCGCAAATGTGACGATTTGATAAAACACACCAGCGAAAACAACAACGAAAAACAGGCTGCAAAACGATCAATCAATAAATCAATAATTTTGGCCTACTGGAAAAAATGCCGTGAGCTTGGTAAAAGTGAATGCAGGCAGAACTAAGATAAATAGCCTGCACAGGGAGCCTGCAGAAAAAAACGACAGCTAATAAAATGCAAAAAAGATCAGCACAATTCCCCTCCCCCTCCATCTGTCCCACCCCGCCCCATTTACCAGATTTGGCGCGTTTTCTATAAATTTGTCCTCTTCGATGAATTGGGCCAGAAACTTATCCAGGTAGGAATTATCTTTTGCAGAACAGGAATAGCGCATCCGTTTGCGCGAAAGTTGCTGGCGTTCTCTGGGTCAGCGCCAAAAGGCGCAAAAACACCTTGTATCATCAACTTTGCTGGAATCGTATCCCAATGGGTAGCTATACTGACGGAACACGACCACTAAGCTCCTATGATGTCACAGGTGTCAGAACTAGCGCCATAAGCGTCAGGGCCCAATGTAGCTGAGCAGCCAGCGCCTGTGGTGCTTGTCCAGTCACTTGTGCACAAAAATACGCGTTATTCGCGTTCTAGGAATAAAATACTCTATAGGAAACATTTCTAGTTATCAAGTCTTCCTAGTATAAAGAAGACAAAGTCCAGGGATAATCCGTCTCATTTTGGAAAAAAAAGGTGCAGAGCAGAAGGGTAAATAAAGCCAACAAATCCAGCAAAATAAGTGGAATGGCTGATTGCCAATACGAAAAACACTCACCAATTATAACAAGGTAAACTCTTTGCGGAATAAGGATGATGAAAAGTGCGGCCAACAGAAGACTCAACGCGAACAGCACGCAAGCGTAGGCGAGATATCGATAAGCCCAACGTCGATTCTGGAAGCAAAATCCAGTCTTATTATATGAAAAGTAAGGCAATCAATGGATGGGAAAAGAAGGGGAAAAGGCAAGAGGGTGCTCAGCACGATGGTCGCACAATGTACGCACCGACTTCACGAGATGTCAGACCGACAGGACTACGCTTTAGGCCGATGTCAGACTTTGCGAATCGCGCGATTCGCTAGCGTCCGCGGTCGCGTTGCGGTACCAGCCAATTGAGTGATTCACTGGCCGCGACGCGACCGCAGACGCTAGCGAATCGCGCGATTCGCAAAGTCTGACATCGGCCTCAGCTGGTGGAGGAATACTGAAGTGCTTAAAGCAACACTCCCGAAAGGTTTTTACCTTCGACACCAATGCTGTGAAACGATGGAAGGGAGCTGAACAGATTCGAAGTGGGCGTGATTGGAATTGGTCGAGGGGACTGCACAACCACGCCCACTTCGAAGCTGTTCAGCTCCCTTTCTAGCGGCTTTCCAAGGTGAGTTTTTTGTTCAGTCACACTTCTTATGTTCTTGACTAGGGCTAGCGCATCGTTCCATACCATTAGTGTCGAAGGTGAAAACCCTGCTGGGACTGTTGCTTTAAGTGTATTACTATAAAGTTCCTCCCGTCTGCGACTCAGTTTAGGAGCCAAAAATGAAAAGATTTCAGAGTAACTCACGTAGAATCCGACAGACACTCGATTGTAGCAAAATGGACACGCAACTGCTCCACGAAGGCGGTGAAACTGAAATTGCTCTATTCGCTTTGGAACAACCCCTTCCCTAGCCACAATGCTGCTGAACAAAAATCAGTCAGAAAGCATGAACAGTTTTTTTTGCATGAGCACAGCACACCGTTTCCTAGTATTTGTCTGCAGTACTTTGGAAAAGAACAAAAAGCTCCATTAATTTCCTCACAAATGGGCAAAAATCAATGGGCAATATGGGCGATTTTCTCTCAAAACTGTAGCACTGTTCAGTACCAAGACAGGACCGGGTGAACCGAGTCGTAGATTACCCTCGACCAAATCTCGAATGTAGGCTCTTTGTTAAGACCTTAAATTTTAGACAGGGACCACCATTAAAAGTGTTGAATCCGTGAATTTGCATTTGATCTGGCTAATGGCCCTGGGTAGGTGATCGTCAGATCTTGGTTCCCTTACTTCTTAGGTCGGTTACCAATCACCGATCCATATCGCCCGTATCGTGCAGTATAAAACAACAACTTTTGCTATGCTATTTATTCTATCTATATTCCTCGTTCTAATAAATCTGCTGTCCGCCCAACTCCTGTCTTTCACAGCTACAGCAAAAAGTATTTCTACTTGAGGTCATTATTCTTCGCTTTTTGCCATATAAGCTCTGACCCACTAATTTGATTAAAGTAGGTAAAATATTTGAAAAAAAAAACCGGCTTACTAGAAACTGCTCGCTGCAGTGTGGACAAACATAACGTGGCGAACATACATCTCGTGGATACCGCACCTTCGATAGGTTGGGACCTGAAAATGGTCAGCCTTCTCTGGTGATCAAGATTTAAATTGTATACTGCAGTATACGTATGGTCTGCAGCTGATTGTATTATTTCAAGGACGTTTTAACCGATTTGCTGGGTTCTGTAAAAAACACAGGTGGGGGGGGGGGGTAAAATGGGAAACACTTCCCTCCAAATTCAAAACGGATGCAATTACATTTTCCAAATCCAAACCGAATCATCCTAATAGAGAATTCAAGAACTCTTTATATTCTATCAAGAAACTTCATCATAGCCTTCTACACCGACCCCATCAGAAGAGTTAGTAGAAGTAGGAGAACACCCTCCAAAGATTGATATACTATGTTCCCTAGTGTTTTTATATCCTCAAGTCTTGAAGAATCAGGATATTCAAAAGAAATTTTCGAGGCCACCATTGATTTTTTCTGGCAAAAAAAAGAGAAGCACGAAAAACCGTTTCGGCGAACACTTTTGACCGCTACTGTATGTGTATTGAACCTTTCCAAACCGGTGATTTTGCAGAAATTTTATATGATAAAAAATTAAGATGGAAAGGTCAGAGACAAAAAAGCGTAAATACCTCACACTAAGATGGGTGGATAGAAACTTGAAAATATACCTGCGGGATACGGCGGCAGCGTGTCGAATGGGAACGCTTGTCCAGGTGGCCATGAGAAATGTTGAACTTTTGATGGCAACGTCACCGTTTCAAGTGGTTTCTCCTTCATTTTTACCACTGAAAAAAGGAAATTTCAACTGTATCAAGAGACAAAGGGTACTAAAAGGTTTCTTTGTAGAGCTGTAACTGCAACGAGAACAAGGTAAATATTGAAGTCTAATAAATACATAAATCATATAATCTAAATAAAGCGATGAATATATTCGCAATGAAATAGGACTAACAATGTAAGATACAATAATTCCTCAGAAGAGAACACGGATGGGAGTTAATAGTGTGGGCGTGGCGATCTGAGACAGAGCCAAGGCGATTGCTCCGCCCACACCTAACCTTATCAAAGCTTTCCCGGGAGGATAATGGCCAAATGGAACATCTAAAGAGAAGAAGTGAACGCGTCGCTTCTTTCAGGAAATGATTATTAAAGGATAAAGAAAGAAGCTTTCTGCCATTGATCAACCCCCTCTTGGGATGCGACACGCATATGCTTCCATTTGTACATTCGCTAGTGGCATTTGAATGCGATGTGGCCTATACAATGACTTGCGGGGGCCAGCCGATGTACAAGTCAGTGTTTTTTTTCCTCCCAGGCAGTCTGGTGCCAACTACGACCTCGATGGATGGAAGGTCTTGCATTTAAATGATCTATATGTCATCATATTTCCATTTAGGAAGGAGAAACTCCCGCCAGGAACACCCGTCGACGTCACGTCGACAACGTTTGAAGCGGTTAGTCGAATAGCTTATAAATCAAGAGCTTCATGTCATCTTCAGGTCGGTGGGAGAAGGAGAAAAGTGAAGTAGTAACGCATTACAATATAAAATTCCAATCTGATAACCCCTTTTGGCAGAAGAAGACTAGAGTTTGACATACACAATGCCGTGTGGTTGTACGAGTGACGATGGAGATTTTTCAGTTCCACGTTTTTCAAGAGGAAAAAAAAACAAAATCGCGTATCTGCATTGCACAATGCGGCCATAATCGCCCCTAAGGCATCATCGCCGCATAATCATCTCCAATAAAAATTTTACAACGCTCTTGCGCCCAACCTCAAATACATTATATGGAGCCGTTGTTCCCTGGGGTGTGAAAGAGCGGACGTTTCTATTCCTGGGAATATTTTCACGACGTACACCTTTTTGATTGCGGGGGTTTAAGCTTCGTTTTGCTGGCCTAGGCCGGGGTCAAAGTCCTGGACTTAAGCAAGCGCAGACAAAAAGACTCGAAACCATGAGCCTATTAATCGTATGTATTTTTCGTCGCAGCCAGAAGTTTCCGCGATATAGCTGTCATCGTCCAAACTAATTTCAGTTTGCTACTGACTCTCAAACGCGACGGCCAGAGCGCAGACTTATGAATAAACTCGGCTAAAAGGTAAATATGGAGGCAACAACGAAGAAGAGCGCGTCAATAGGAATACTAACACTTGCTCTGACGCTTTTTTTACACTTGAAAACGGGTTCACACGACCGATTATGTCTATAGACCATATAGGGTTAGCATCTGGTTTCGCGCTTTATCGTCGGCGAACACAATATCCGATATTATCGGCCGAAGGTTTTGCTTTCACCTGCATTCTAAGTTTTTGGAAGGTTCAAGCACAAGTAAGCAGAAGAATGCAAAGACAATTTAAAACGAATTCGACTTGGCAGAAAATAGCATTGTGCAAAATGGCTTCCATGAAAAAATTGAACGAACAATATCTCGAGTATGGTCACTTTCTTAGAATCACTCTGCACACTTGAGTTCTTGTTAAAATCAAGAGCTGCTCAATTGCTCACTAAGTCTATACAATAATCGCTCGATTTCTCCCAAGGTAAATCATTCTCTCGAATTCGCCACTGCATCCTACTCAAGGCGCAGTGATCATCTCAGTCAAGGCGAATCTAATTTGTAAGCCAATTAGGGAGGTCAAGTTGACTGGACCAACTAGCAGTCGAGTGCTTCGCAATCGTGCGAGAGCCATTCAATGAAAGCTTCAAAAAGCGATTCAAAAGCGATTTCGCGGTGATTTGATTCACACAAGCGTCTACGATATTATTAAAGAAACTTCTGCGTCAATAAATGCAGGTGAGTCACGCCTTATACCCGATAAACTAAATTCAACATGAGAATAGCGTTCGAAAAAATGAACAAGAGGCGCGGACAAAATCATGAACTAATGCGCCCGGAACTCCGATCAGAATCCGCATCGACCCCCTGCCTCGCTAGCTGCCTTTATGATTCTATACAAGGTACGGTATTTCCATATCCGGCTAATGATGCGTGAATAGTTAAAGAACTGAATGCCAACAACGTACCAGAAAAGTGATGCCCAAAATAAAGGCAGATGTGCCAAAGTTCTTAGGTGAAAAGGTTTTTGGTTGGACTCACATCATAGCTCAACATTATCGACCTTCAGAGGCCGAGAAGTGTGTTCCAGTTCGGCAAAAAAGGTGGTATCAACAATTACTTAGCATTCCCCAATAACATATACAGAAAGAAATAAGTATCACACTAAGAAACAAAAGTTCGCGGCCTCGATCACCCAGTATACTTAGCAATTGCTATGCGCCAAAGTTACTGTTATCAAAAGCCAAGGTCATCGAGAGAGAAAAAACGCGAGATAGCACAGGGCGCAGACGCTACGTATGCTGCCATCGAAAAGAATGGCAGCGGTTGCAGCAGTCGAGCAAAGGTCTCCCTTGTCCTGCACTTCCGCCTGTCTCTTTAAATTCGGGTGTTTCTACTATCACTTATGATGATTTTATATTAATCCGTTTAGTTATTTCTTTACCCGCGAATACTCATGCATTTTTGGCGGAAGTGGTGCAGTGACAAGTGGCGCGCTCACCACGCGAGCGGTCCGGGATCAAATCCTGGGTCGTGAGTCGCCCGGGCCAACCAAGCCTTCCATCCCTCCGGGGTCGGTTAATTGGTACCAGACTTGTCTGGGAGGATAAAAACACTGACTTGAACATCGGCTGGCCCCCGCAAGTCATTGTATAGGCCACATCGCATTCAAACGCCACTGCGAATGTACAAATGGAAGTAGAATGCGTGCCGCATCCCAAAAAGGGATTGATCAACGGCAAATGCTTTATCCTTTATCCTTTTATTATCATTTTTCATTGTCCCACAATAGCTAGCAGCTGATAGGTAGAAGTACATACAATTGACGATAGCAACATCAAAAAGATTGGAATGAATCAAAGCCGACCGCTACGTAGCAAAGGCCTGATTTCACTGACCAATCGGCGCCGAGTGATTAAGATGATAATTTGCAAATCGCAATATTGTGATTATGGCGCTTGCAGAGTAATTGGCCAGCGTAGCTGGTTAGTGCTTTTTTTATGCAGAACGATGAATCATCACGAAATTTTGATAACTGTTTTTAGGACCGATCAAAATTCGTGGCGCTTGTATGGTTCTAAAACTAAAACCGAGAATACTATCGGGAAATGTTAACGCATCGCCAATGTTAACTATTTAGTCTCACTGTCTTGAACTTGAATAATTACTATTAAAATTTATTCAGTAATGTCCTATTATCCTCGATAGAAAATATACCTGCTAAATCTCCCTCGGAAAAGGGTGTAGTGTCCTCCCGTGTTCGGCAATTCAACACAAAAATTACGAACAAGAAAAAATGAAGATCTAACGACGGTTGTGAGCCAACAATATTCCGATAAAGTGAGCGCAACGTCTCACGCCAGCCCATGTCCGGGCAATTAGCCCGAATGGAGCCAAATAGCGCTAAATTTTTGAGTATTTTTTGTGCTATGAAAGCCAAATAGTCGGCGATGCAATGCTGTGGTATTACTGAAAAGGCGCTATCGCAATATACGGGGGCCTGGTGGCAATGCATCGAATCCGCGTGAAACGTGTTCTTTTTATTAAGAACGGAACTATGTATGCCTTGAGCAGAAATGGAGCTGAGCCTTGAGCTTGGAAGCAGACACCCTCACAGGCGGTGCGTAGCCCCATCTTTCATTCTTTCGAAGTCTTACCCTGCCTCAGAGACTTAATCTAAGCCAGATAACCCGGTATAATGCGCATAAAGTCAGGAGGACGCCCTTCACTCTTTATACTCAGCAGTGATCATCTCGACCGAGCACATCCACCAATCGCCCGCTGATCGATATTCGCCACTGCTCCTCGCCGTGGTCGTGACTCTACACAGAATCGCCTCTTTATTGCATCCTCTCCAACTCACTCCATCTGTTAGAACCCAAACGATAGCCAAAGTGGCTTAAGGGGTTATTAAGGGTCTTTTCAGAGGCTTCAAGTACGAATACGTCTGCTAGGGGTGTTTCGACCTGCCGGATGCATAACCATGTCTTGGCAGAAATACAGACCAGATCCAGATTGACAGGCTGGCTGATGAAACCCTACTTAAAGCGCAAAATGTATGAAAATTCAGGAGAGTACTCGTAGCTTGAACTTGAGGACGTACTTTCACCAAGGGTCATAACCCAGCCGTGCAATTTTTGCTTGAACTCGAATTCAAAGCGTGTTTGTGTAGGTGAAGTACTTAACGTTCGTCTAATCGCATCTGAGGATGCGCCGTGCATTTCGAATCAATTTGATGTTCCAACTGAGAGCTGAGCTTCTATAGATAGCTTAACACGCATAGCGCCACGGCATCGAAAAGCCATGTTAGCGCTACTATTATAAAACACTAATCCTCCTACCAGCAGTTCTTTACTCCTTTCATAAGAACGTAAATATTTTGCGGCCCCCCTCCATCCAGCAGAAGACTTGGAAGCATAGCTGCTTTATTCGTCGTCTTTGAGAAGATATTTAATCGTCGAGATGTTGTTACGCTTCTAGAAAATTGTCAACCTACAGTTTTCTGATGCCCACCTTTCTATTGTGATCAAACCCAAGATAGTTCTTTACCAAGCTGCTATTAAAAGAATCTGAAGAATTCTTTCATGGAAATGACGTGTGCGTTAATTTCCAATTCTAATTACATTACGACAAAGGCACCTTCCCAGAAAAGCAATGTGGCTGCTGCAATTCAAACATGAGGCTATTGGTTTTGAAAGAGCCAAGAAAGTAAGGACAAG